TAAGGCTACGAGATTTTAAATCTATCAGTGAGTATAATTCTGCTGTGTTCAGATTTATTTCCCAATTGAAACTATGTGGTGATAATATTACTGATCATGATATGTTGGAGAAAACTTTTACCACTTTTCATGCCTCGAATATGCTCCTGCAACAGCAATATCGAGAAATGGAATTTAAAAAGTATTCTGAACTTATCTCACATCTTATTGTAGCCGAGCAACATAATGGGCTATTAATGAAAAACCATGAAAGTCGACCTACTGGTTCTTGTCCATTCCCTGCAGTGAGTGAGACGAACTTTCACCAAGCTGAGCGTGGAAGAGGACGTGGCCCCAGTCGTGGTCATGGCCGTGGTCGGGGAGGAAACTCTAATCGTGGTAATAACAATGCACCAAAGAACCCTCATCACCACCAGCAGTGAAAAGGGAAGGAACAAAAGCATGAAGTGGTGCAAGAAGCAAAGCCAGAAAATACATGCTATAGATGTGGAGGAAAAGGGAACTGGTCTCGTACATGTCTTACGCCAAAGCACCTGGTTGAGCTATATCAAGCCTCCCTGAAGAAGACAGAGAAAAATATTGAAGCAAATTTTATTTCTGAAGATAATTTAGACTTTATGCATTTGGATGTAGCTGATTATTTTGCACTCCCAGAAGGAGAAATAAGTCATGTGATCAGTAGTGAATCTGTAGAAATATAAATATTTTAATTTTTGTTGTTTGCAGTAGATAGTATGATTATGTAATTGTTATACATAAATAAAAGTTATGCTTTGATAATAATATTTACTATCATATTTATTTTGTTTATGTCATTTTGAAGAATGTGGATAATCCTCAAATTATGTTTGGATCAAAGACCAATCACGAAGATATTTGTGTAATTGATAGTGGAACAACTCATGCCATATTCAAAGATCATAAATACTTTTCTTATTTGCATAAGGAAAAAGCAAATATTTCTATAATTTTTGGTAATATAAGTTTGATTAAGGCTCCGAAAGAGCTATTGTATTTCTGTCTAAGGGAACAAAACTTATTATAGACAGTACATTATTCTCCTCCAAGTCCAGAAGAAACTTGTTGAGTTTTATAGATATCCGCCGAAATAAGTATCATGTTGAGACAATAGATGAAATGAACGTGGAATATCTTTGTATTACAAAGAATATTTCTGGCCAGAAATGCATTGTAGAAAAGTTACCAACTTTATCTTCTGGCTTATACTATTCAAAGATTAGTACAGTTGAAGCACACTCTATCGTAAACCAGAAGTTTACTGATTCAAATACTTTTGTGCTTTGGCATGGCCGTTTGGGCCATCCTGGATCAATAATGATGAGACGAATTACTGAAAATTCGAGTGGGCATCCATTAAAGAACCTGAAGATTCTTACAAATGATGAATTTTCTTGTGATGCTTGTTATCAAGGCAAAATGATCACTAGACCATCACTAATGAAGGTTGGTATTGAGTCCCCTACCTTTTTAGAACGTATATATGGGGATATATGTGGACCTATTCACCCACTAAGTGGGCTATTTAGATATTTTATGGTCCTAATAGACGCATCTTCAAGATGGTCTCATGCTTGCCTACTATCATCTCGCAACCTGGCATTTGCAAAGTTATTAGCCCAAATAATTCGATTAAGGGCACAATTCCCAGATTATCCTATAAAGGTTTTTCGCCTTGATAATGCTGGAGAATTCTCATCTCAAGCTTTTGATAATTACTGTCTATCAGTTGGAATAAAAGTTGAACATCCAGTAGCTTATGTTCATACTCAAAATGGCCTTGCAGAGTCATTTATTAAAAGGCTACAATTGATAGCAAGACCACTACTTATGAAAATAAAATTGCCCACTACTGTTTGGAGCCATGCTATCTTGCACGCAACATCACTTATCCGTCTCAGACCAACACATTATAATAAATATTCTCCGTCACAATTAGTTTTTGGTCATGAACCAAATATTGCCCATCTACGAATTTTTAGATGTGTTGTATATGTGCCAGTAGCACCACCATATCGCAGTAAGATGGCCCCCCCAAAGAAGGTTAGGAATATATATTGGGTTTGAATCACCCTTTATTATTCGCTATCTTGAACCATTTACGGGAGATTTATTTACTACTCGATTTGGAGATTGTTGATTTGATGAAATAAATTTTCCACAATTAGGGGGAGAGAAAAAGGAAATCAAAAGAGAAATTGTGTGAAAAGTTTCATCATTATCTTATTTTGATCCACGTACCCCTATATGTAATCAGGAGGTCCATAAGATCACCCATTTACAAAATATAGCAAATCAAATGCCAGACGTGTTTACTGATTTGAAGATGATAACTAAGTCACATATCCATGCAGAGAATGTGCCTATATGAATTGATGTCCCAACAGGACCATCTACTAGCATAACAACTAGTGAACCTAAAGCATGCCTAAAGCGTGGTAGGCCTTTGGGTTCTAAGTATGAAAATCATAGAAAAAGAAATTCGACAAATGATCAAAATGATATTATGAAGGGATCTCCTGAAGAGACCCAAGATCTGATTAGTTCTGAGATTCCTGAAAAAATCAATGAGCCCGAGACTCAAGTGTGTGAGGAACTTTTAATAAGTTCTACTAGTGATGGGATTAATTTAAATCGATCTGAAATAGTGGTGGGTAATATTTTTGCATATAATGTTGCACTTAACATTATTCAAGATAGTGAGGATTGTGAACCCCGATCTATCGAAGAATGTCAACAAAAATCTGATTTGCCAAAATGGCAAGGGAAAATACAATCAGAATTGAACGCACTTGCTAAAAGAGAGGTCTTTGGACCAGTAGTCCAAACACCTGTTGGTGTAAAACCAGTTGGTCATAAATGGATTTTTGTGCGAAAAAGGAATGACCAAAATGAAGTTGAAATATACAAGGCTCGCCTTGTCGCACAAGGATTCCCATAATGACCTGGAGTCGATTATGAAGAAACATATTCACCAGTTATAGATGCCATAACATTTCGATATCTCATCAGTTTAGCCTTACATGAAAGACTTGAAATATATATGATGGATGTGGTTACGGCTTATCTGTATGGGTCACTTAATAATGAGATTTACATGAAAATCCCTGAAGGATTTAAAATGCCTGAAGCATATTCGAAATCTCGGAAAATGTATTCAATCAGATTACAAAGATCTTTGTACGGTTTAAAGCAATCTGAGCGCATGTGGTATAATCGCCTTAGTGAATATTTACTTAAAGAGGGTTACATAAATGATGTTATTTGTCCACGTATTTTTATAAAAAAATGACATCATAATTTATTATACTTGCTGTTTATGTTGATGACATAAATCTTGTTGGAACTCCAGAAGGGCTCCAAAAGGCAATTGAATATCTTAAGAAAGAATTTGAGATGAAAGATCTTGGGAAAACAAAACTTTGTCTTGGATTGAAAATTGAACATTTAGCAAACGGGATCTTTCTGCATCAATCTGCCTATACAGAAAGGGTCTTAAAATGTTTTTACACGAACTATTGATGCCTATGCATCAATAGTTGTTCGATCACTTAAAGTGAATAAGGACCCGTTCCGACCCCCAGAAGAGGATGAGGAACTCCTTGGTCCTGAAACACCTTATCTTAGTGCAATTGGTGCACTTATGTATCTTGCTAATGCTACAAGGCCTGACATAGCATTTCCTGTTAATTTACTAGCAAGATATAGCTCTTCTCCTATTCGGAGACATTAGAATGGGATTAAGCATATTTTGCGATATTTAAAGGGAACTCTTGATATGAGTTTGTTTTATTCTAATAAAGGTAGTACAGATCTTGTTGGTTATGCAGATGCAAGTTATTTATCTGATCCCCATAAAGCTCGATCTCAAACTGGATACGTGTTTACATGTGGAGGTACTGTCATATCATGGCGCTCCACAAAGCAGTCAATTGTTACTACTTCTTCAAATCATGCTGAGATAACAGCTATTCATGAAGCAAGTAGGGAATGCGTATGGTTGAGATCAGTGATTCATTTTATTCAAGAAAAATGTGGTTTGGAGTGTGATAAAAGATCCACAATTTTATACAAAGACAATGCTGCATGCTTAACTCAATTGAAGGGAGGATTTATAAAAGGAGATAGAACGAAGCACATTTCAGCAAAATTATTTTACACACACGATCTTCAGAAAAATGGTGACATTGATGTGCAGCAAATCCGTTCAAGTGACAATCCGGCAGATTTATTCATTAAATTTTTGCCAACTTCAACTTTTGAGAAGATGGTATACAAGATTGGAATGCAGAGACTCACATATTTAAAACAAGGTTTTCATCAGGGGGAGTAAAATACGCGATGTACTCTTTTTTTCTTACTAAGGTTTTTTCCCATAGGGTTTTCCTTATAAAGTTTTTGATGAGGCAGCTAGAAATGCGTATTACTAAATATGTGTACTCTTTTTCCTTCACTAGGATTTTTTTTACTGGGTTTTTTTCTAGTAAGGTTTTAACGAGGCATAATACCTTTTAATGAACATCCAAGGGGGAGTGTTATGAAAATAATTATATTATGGATGTTCATTTATTACTCCTCTTCCTGAAAAAGATTATCCATTTAGTACTCTGTTGAAATTTATCTATAAGCAGCTGATGCAGGCATGTTGCAAACAGCTCAATGAAATGATTTGCAGCAGCTTCTTATTAAACAGGCAGGTTGCAAGCAACTCATGCAGACAGCTTACAAGCAGCTAAAGAAAAGCCTTGTAACTGCTTCCTTAAAAGGCTCGCAGCTGCTTCCTTTCTTTTATAAATAGAGAAGTTTTCAGTTCATTATGTACATAAGTTTGAAATTTGAATAATATATCAGTTTCTCTCTATACTTATCTTTACTTTACCGTTTTTATTTTATAACAATTCAAAAGTTATGAAACAATTAAAAAAAAAAATAGTAACAAAACTCTCCAAAAACAAAAGTGTGTATAAAAAGTAAAAACCCTTGGCTTAGAATTGAGATATTACGGATTCTTATTTGTTGCAACCTTAGGAGAGACAGAAGGAAACATGTCGGGCGGAATTGCGCGTGGTCGTCTTGCTGAGGAGAGGAAAGCATGGCGTAAGAATCATCCTCATGTGCGTTTCTCTTACTCATCTTTCTTCTGTTCATTTTAACTTTTCTTTTCTTTTTTGTATTATGGGTGCACATTAATTGTTGCTTCTCTGGATTTTGTGGTTTAGGGTTTTGTGGCAAAGCCGGAGACTGGTGCTGATGGGTCTGTCAATTTGATGATTTGGCATTGCTCTATCCCTGGTAAACCTGCTGTAAGTTTCTTCACTGCCCATTTTTTCCCCTTTGTGAATTTCTGGAGTAAAAATGAGGAGCCAGTGTCCCTGTGATTTTTTTTTCTTTCTGTTTCCTTGAAACCCCTGAATCCTTGTACATGATTGACACCGTGTGCTAGTTACTGTAGCTGTTTTCAAGGATTTGTGTTACTGTTTCTCTATTTTCTTCTGTGAAAAGCAGTTATTTTTTTTTTTTGATTTGCACCGGGTGTCCAAGTCTCTTTGAGCCCCGACTAATTCCGGGGGTGCACAGGCCCTCGGCAAGGAGTTTCCCGCAAGTGCACCACGGTTAATTCAGGTTTTACCCAGTCCGATGGCCCTCATAAATTGTTTGCACCCAGTGGGTTTCGAACTTGAGACCTTGAAAGGGAGCAAACCCCAAGGCTCAAGTCAATTGCCACCAGGCTTCTGTGAAAAGCAGTTATTTTGTGCTGTAATTGCCTTCTTGCTAAGATTCATGCTTTACTTTTTTCTGATCATGTTTAAAGAACAGATTCTGGGTAGTATTGATAGTACATAACCATTTCTGGTCTGTGATAGGTGTGCTTGTTCTTGTTTGTGTTTGCTCATTTTCTCTTAAGTGTTATGCTTTTACTACATTTCTTACTCTCTTCCTATTTAATTCGTGAAACATATGGTTGAGCCAAAAAAATTAATGGGGAGAGGAAAGGAATTTGAAGAGTAGGGAGGAGAAGAATTTAAGAGTAGGAAGCAGACTTGAACTGCAATTTCTGTCTGGTTGTATGAGACATGTTGTTTCTTATACGGTTATTGATAGTACATAACCATTTCTGGTCTGTGATAGGTGTGCTTATTCTTGTTTGTGTTTGCTCATTTTCTCTTAAGTTATGCTTTTACTACATTTCTTACTCTCTTCCTATTTAATTCGTGAAACATATGGTTGAGGCAAAAAAATTAATGGGCAGAGGAAAGGAATTTGAAGAGTAGGGAGGAGAAGAATTTAAGAGTTGGAAGTAGACTTGAACTCCAATTTCTGTCTGGTTGTATGAGACATGTTGTTTCTTATATGGTTATACCTCGGTTGGTTTACTGATGGCAGTAGCCTATATCATGTGTACTCATTGTCTCTGAAGAAAGAAGTGAGTCTTTACCAGCTTTAAAATAATTGAATCTATGAAAAAGAAAAAAAAGGTGAACCTCATTTTTTCTTTCGTTCACGGAACATGTTCTCCTTTTGAAAGGAATTTGAGACTCACCTATAATCTACTAACAGTTTCAACTAGGTCATTACGGCCAGCAAGTTTGCTAATCTCCTTCTTTATAAATGTCCACTCTAGTCCACTATCCAGTATCAAATACTCCGTATTGCCCAAGGGATTAAGCTGCCACCTGGAAAGAAAGCAACAAAGGACTGCATGTTAGGTTTGGTTATATTTTGTTCTAAGAGTAACAATTATGAACCTGGAAGAAATTTTCGGACATTTGAACAAACGACTAGGATTCATGGGCTTTGGAAGTTTAGAATTTTTTTATTCAAATTGGACTCGAAAGAGATGTAAGATGATAATATAGAAGAAATATTATATTTATCCGGACACATTCTGGGAATAGAACAAAGCCCAGTCTTTGAATTATATGGAAACATCTAACGGACACCAAGATCCATTCTCACACACTTCTAAAGGAAGACAACCAGAAGACGCCTCTTAAGTCTATTCTGATATGAAATAAGTCCTTTTTCTCATTAGTCCCAGGTGAAATACCTGAATTACTTTTTGAGAAAGAGCATGAAGGCAGAAGGCTGCTATGTAGTCACCTCTTTGATCAATCTTAGAGGTGTAAACAGTGATGATATGAATCGCTTTGCGAGCTACATACCTGAATCAATTTGCTGATGTTCTGTGATAGTGATAGACACTTAAGTCCTTGGAATAGGCTTTGCATTTTGTCATTGAGAGAGCAGTAGAGAGATTTACATTTACTGTAATCAAAATCCCTTTCTTGCCTCTCTCTACACCCTGTTCCTTCATTTGATGATTGTCAAGAATAATATACAATCTAATGACTGGTACAGACTGACTGGGAGGATGGTCACTATCCACTAACAATGCACTTCAGTGAAGACTATCCAAGCAAACCCCCAAAGTGCAAGTTTCCTCAAGGTTTCTTTCACCCAAATGTCTATCCTTCAGGAACAGTATGTTTGTCTATCCTCAACGAGGACAGTGTAAGTACTTGTTGCTGCCTTTGTGGTTATTTTATATATGTATAGCTGATTGTTTTTTAACAGCTTTCAATTGAATCTGTGGATTCGTTCTCTTGCAATTACTTGTTCTTAGGGGTGGAGGCCAGCCATTACAGTTAAACAAATTTTGGTGGGTATCCAAGATTTGCTCGACCAGCCAAATCCCAATGATCCAGCACAAACCGATGGTTATCAGCTCTATATGCAGGTATTCTACTTGTGTTTGACGTGTATTTGTTCGAGTTTCCTCAAATTGGCATTTTTATTTTTGACATTCAACATTTTACCTGGATTATTCTTTATATATCCTAATCCTTGCAAGGTTTCAATTGCCATATGTCACTCATCTATGCCGAACGCGTAGTAACAAACAACTGTACAACGTACTTGAAGTCCATAACATTTGTAGTTCTAGCCACTACTTGGTTGTAGGAGCGAAATGATAATTAAATTGGTTCATTTTTAACTTCTAGTCAAATGATTCATAATTTTCCTACTTCTGATCAAGATAAAATCCTGCATTGTTAGATACGATGCTCTATGGAAATAATTTCATAGGCCCTGATAAAAAAGTTCCGAAATTTAACTGAATGGTCCAAATAGTGTTGACTGTCATTACAAATAATGTGGCAATCACTTTTGCAGGATACAGCTGAGTACAAGAGGCGAGTGAAGCAGCAGGCGAAGCTATATCCAGCTCTACTCTAGTTTTATCTGCTTTAAGACTGTGATTAAATTTGACTGTGGGCAACTTCCTTTTGATTTTTAGCAACGTCAATAGGCCTCATTGACATAGTAAGTGTGGGTAACTTTGAGTGCCTAGCTTTTTTATGATTCAGAGATGCATGTAGTTGGAGTTTGCAACTTGCAATTGCTTTCTCTTGTTTCTTATTACTTTGGAATTGTACAAAAACAGTTTTTTATCAAAAATTGTCTCCTTACTTACTGACTGCCCTTGGGGGAGAGTTGGGTGAGGGGAGATAAGGAGAAGAGGGGGTTATGGTCTTTTATCCCGATTCTTAAAATTGGGATGAGACACTGGAACACTCCCCTCTCCTTCCTCTCATCAATCGTTAGGAGCTTATTCTATCTTAATGCTGAAAGAGTTGTGAAGTGGATAACAGTATTGTCCTGCCGAGCTGCAGCTCTTTCCTTGTTATGAGCTCCATATATTACTGCAACTAGTTTCTTTAAAAGCTTCAGATGTTCCATGTTGGTGATGGATAATTAGTATATTTATCTATTTGTACCTGCATTGTCTTTCCTATTTATGAGGTTAATATGGGGGAAGTGCACGGTTAACCACTAATTAGAGTTGTATTTACTCTTAAGCCACTGTTTAAAATGTATTTACTCTTTAGCCAGTGCTTTAATAAAATTTTACCTGCTCGGACGAAAATACCTCTGTGCTAGACATGATGTCCTTAACTTCATGAGTGTTGTATAAATATTAAGGACAAAGTGTCCTAAATTAGCACCTTCTGTTTTAAACTTTAGGACGTCATGTCCTTAACTTCATATGTGCAGTGTACATGTTAAGGACATGGTGTCGTTAACTTCATGAGTGTTGTCTAAATATTAAGGACACGGTGTCAATAACTTCATGGGTGCTGTGTAAATATTAAGGACAATGTGTCCTGTATTTGCACCTTCAGTTAAACTTTAGGACATCATGTTCTTGCTTCATATGTGCAGTGTAAATGTTAAGGACTTGTATCCTTTTAACTTCATGTGTGTATTGTAAATGTTAAGGACATAGTGTCTTTAACTTCATGAGTGTTGTGTAAATATTAAGGACAAAGTGTTCTGTATTTGTACTTTTTATTGTTAAATTTTAGGACATCATCTCCTTAAAAGAAAGAGTAAAAACGTTTTTTCGTATTAATTTTTAATAGAGTTTGTGACTATTTTTCCCCACTTAATATGGTATAGCAACTTGTTTTCTTTAAAAAGATTTTGGATGTTTCCGTGTTTTGTTCTTTAGTGTATTGATTACCTGTTTTGTGGATTTTTATTTAAATTCAGACTAGTAAATGGGGAATAGAAAGAAAATAATAAAAGTAGTCCATTATGTTTAGGAGTTGGTCTAAAATAGTCCCTTAAATATAAGTTTTGCGCAGCTTTAGTCCTTTAAGTTTACTAACTTGAGCACTTTTGGTGTATGTTGTCTTTGAGAAGCGCATGAATCATTTAAAAGGAAGAAACTATCAGGACAAACATCTCCAGATTCATTTCTCCCAATTCACACTTGAAAAAATAAATCCTATGCACGTTAATTGAATCCACCATACACTTTCTTTTACCCTCCAAGTATATGAAATAGTGAATGAACCAACACTTTGTCTTTTTTGGACCTTCCTTAGCGCCCTTTGTTGTTGAAATTCTTACTTAGAAATAGGAGCTGGAGGATGAAAAATAATGCTCCAAATGTGTACTTTGTGTAATTAGAAAATCAATTAATTTTTCATTACTTTCATACCCTCATCTTTTCATATAGTTATCCTCGTGTCCTGTCCTTTAAAAGACACATAATCCACGTATAGTATACAATCTACATCACCATTCTATTTTTCTCACCTTCGATTCTATCACCATGGCCACAAGCTTTCGACATCTGCTCTCTTTTGTTGTTCCTCTTTCTTCACTGCTTTTGCAGTAAACTAGCAGACATCAAGTCAAGCAAAAGGGCAACATTTTTGTAAATATCCAGTACTACCTTCCAAATATTAATTATTCAGTATAATGGAGAGTTTCACTAGTCATTTTATATCGTTATATAGAAAAGCTTATAAGCCTCGCATTCAGATTTATGTTTCTTATAATTTTTTTTTAGGGTATATTACGTTTAACATTACCTTCTTGAAATAAAAAAGACTGTTTCATGATAATAAGAAATTAGATCTAGTTATTTTAGACTACATATTCGGCTCTCAGAATTTAAACTTAAACAATTTCACGCAACATTCTTTTAGTTTATGTTTCAATATTTTGAACAAAACGGAATGTAAAAACAATCATAATAAAAAATTAGACCTTAGCTTCGAATTTCTCTACGAAGCTGTTTTTTTTAGTTTCAGCTTTGTGACTTGGCTTATCGTAAGAAATGGGACCTTGTTTGTTATATTTGGTGCTTTTTTGACAAGCAAAATAATGTTTTCTTCAAAAAGTAAAAGGGTGTATTATCATATCATTGCTTCCTTTTCCCCCCTCTTCCAATATAAGAATATAAAGTTGTCTATACGTTCTCAAGTTAAACTTAAAAACGTGAGAGGCAAACAAGAATTAGCTTAATTGAGCCTGCAAGTAATAAGATAATAAATCCTTTTATCTACTCAACCATTAAGTTGAGAAAATAAAGTGATCAAGTTCATGCATCTGAATTATCAAATTGGAAACACCGACACCGTATATCCCCTTAGAGATTTCACAACTCATCGGTATCTTCTTTATTCATTCTTGCCTGTCAATTCTACGCGTGCCTTTATTTTGTTACAACTTATACATTCAAAACTTTATAATAATTATCATAATTATACAAATGAGATCCCATCAAGGCATAAATAAAAGTGATTGATTTCTTCCCCTCACGTTTTATACAAATATGGTTAGTTGTCCTGAATTCTCTTCCCGGATTTGTTCCCACGTATTGATAAGTGATAAACTGAGTATTAATTANATATATATTATGTTTATTAGTTTGATATAAAAAACGAGAGTTCGAATTTCCAGGTCGCGGGTATGAATAATTTTTTCCGTAGAAAAAATGAAGATTTTTTTTCTTTTTTCTTCTAAGGGCAGTGGCATAAGGGGAAAAGAAGAAAGTGTTAATACAAATTACTGAGTTCCATGGTTTGCTACTCGGTATTTTCCCACAAAGAATGATGGCTTGAAATAGAAAAGTCAACGCATCTAATTTCTTAGCGTATTTGTTCATTGACTTTTTAATTTTTGAAATTAAATTCACATGCTTTGAAACTACTTATTTACATACTAAAAATTACAGTTTATAGAGCTGAAAATATTTTTAAAATGTTTAAAGAATAAAACTGCTGGCTCCCGTAATTCAACGAATGTGATCCACCAGAAAGTATTCTTCAAATCTTTTTGCCTTATTTATTTTTGTTGTCTTCTGAACTTTATTGTTGTCTTCGTACAAGAATAACATGGAAAAAGCAATAAAAACAAAAAACAAAAAACAAAAGCCTTTTCTTTTTCTTTCATAAAAAAAGGGGAAAAAGGACTAGAGGATGCATATCAGAAATCCAAGTAGAAAACACAAATTTTAGAACACAACAAACTGATAATGACATGGAATTAGGTGGCTTCCTCTGAGATTATGACTTGACTTCTTCTCACTTCTTAATTCCTTTGGCTCTTACGTTGACCAAAAATGGCTTACTAAAGACAAATTCTCTGTTCAAGAATAGCATCATTAATGAAATTTACAAGGCAATTATATACTATCTTGTTAGTAGTTTGACAACACCACTAATTACTATTCTCTCCGTCTCATATTATCTGTTATAATTCTCTTATACACAACCTTTAAGAAAAATTAATTAGGATGAGATTTTGATTACTTTACCCTTATTCATTAATATTTAATCTTTCTTCACTGGTATTTGAACAAAGTTAAGTGTTTGTAGTCTTCAAGGATAATTATTACTAAGGGTAAAAAATAAAAAAAGATAATCAATTTTGTCTTGAACTTCTAAAATGACAAATAATTTGAGACAACTATTTTTAGTAACCACGACTAATAAGAAAGACGTAGGGAGTATATCTTACTATATAAATCACGATTATATTTCTCTATTTAAATTCATCTTATGCCTCGAAGAAAAAGGCCAAAAAATTGACAAATGAAATGATTTCAGTAGGCAGGGAACTATCTTCTTTAGTGCCCTTAATGGTCTGCCGGATCCACATAATCTGAGGCGGACCTAGGTTTTGAAAATGGTGGGACAATCACTATAAAATAAAACTTTGAGCAAATGTTGAAGTGGAAATTAAACCCAAGTATTACACTAAAAGTCAAGTTGTACCTCTGAAGCGACCAATGCAGCTGCCTAAGCTTTGAGTTTTAATGTGCCAATCAAAATATACAGTATTGACAATGAGGGTAGGTCTGCCTCTGCACATAATAAATTGGAACCGACAATCTAAATGTCTCATTAAAACCAAAAACATGTACAAATATGATGTTTAATATGATTCTTTTTTTATGCTACAAAGGGTTAGGAGATCTTGAAGAACTATTATTATCCAAAACAATTTCAAATAAATCACCTTCAGACTCCATATCATAATCTAATACTTGTTTCAAACTATTGACAGTATTGTTATTGCTTCTTGTTGTAGTAGTACTTCTGTTAAGCCACTGAGCATCAATTCTACCCATTGAAAAAAGTTCTTTACTGTCTTCATATCCCAAAACTGGAGAATTTGCCAAAGGACCAATGAAGCAAGGATTTGGTGTCCTTTGAAAATTTGCTGGTGGATATCTGAATACACTTTGTCCAAGATTTACTAGTACTAAAATGTCACCATTTGCTGCTAAAGTTGGATATAATGGATTTCCAAATTCCTCTGATTTGCAACGGATTTCGTGTACTAGTAGTGAATCCACTGTGAAAAACACCTTCTTTTGGCTTGGATTGTACCCACAACCAATTACCTTTTCTGCTTTTCCCCACTCTTCTCTTTGTGATTCATACACCAGTTTCATTCCTGCAACAGATTATCAAGACAAAAAAACTTGAGTTTTTTTTCCTTTGAGGGAATGATTTCAAGTATGGTCATGAACTTTATCCATTATAATAATACAATAACAAAAAATTCAGTGTAATCCACAAGTGGGGTCTGAGTATGGTAGAGTGCGCAGACCTTATCCCTATCTTGTGAGGATAGAGAAATTATTTCTGTTAGACGCTCGGCTTATCCATTATAATAGTAAAGTTACAAAAGTATTCTTTTCGTATTATAATTAAGCTTCATTTGCGATAATAGTAAAGTGACTCTACATAACACACTATAATGGTAAAGTTACAAAACTATTTTTTGTCACATTAAAATAATAAACTTTACCTAATAAAATATAGTAAAGTCATTAAACTTT